AAGCATGAAAACATATATGCTGTTAATAATTAAAACTACACGTGTGTGTATAGCAGGCGTCTTTCAGTATTATAAACACTTGTGGAATGAATGAACTGTTTTAATATCTGGAAGATGAATTGGAAAATAAAAGTAGTTTTTTTGTGTTAGAGCGTTAGGGGTATAGGAAAATTGAAATAATTTTTATGACCGTATTTTAATATATTTTAAATTATAACATATACATATTTCCTTTGGGCCCTGTAGACACTTTTCCCGACTTTCTTTTATTGGAATGCTGACAGATGCTCTGGGGGAAAAAAGGGTCTATGGTCAAACTAAGGCTGGGAAATGCTAAAAATTAAGAGTCACAGTGAAATTCACTTTCGAAACAGAACTTCTGATTCCAAACCCACTCCTTGGCAGCTCTCCATCTCCAAAATGGCAACTCCAGCTTCCTGGTTGCTCAAATCCTATGCCTTGAAGGCATTCTGGATTCCTTTCCTTCTCTCACTCATTAACCATCACTGTCTTCAAAATATATTTGAAACCCAATTAATTCTCTCTGCCTCAGCTGCCATTCATACTGATCCAAGCCCTGGCCTCCATCGTGCCACCCTAGGGTCTGTTGTCCACACAGCCCCCAGTTGTAGTGGCCAGGGCTTAGTTTGGATCGGAGCAATGCAACCAGTTGGCAGAGAGGCAAAACCAGAACCCCATTGCTCAGTTAATCTTGCTCAGGAGTTCATTCTGCAATAGGCAAGAGGCTCCAGAGTGTTCTCAGCCCTGCAGCTGAGCTCTCCGCACAATTTCCCCAGAAGTTGTAAGTCAGGCCCTCCCGTGGACCCTTAGGTTGACAAATGACCCAGATTCAGAGGAGCCTTATGACTCCTCACCCTTTAGAGGAACTCTGTGACCTTCTTCTCTTACTGCACAGGTGCCTAGTTGTGGTAGATGAGATAGATACCTGAGAGCTCCTGGATCTCTCTTCAGTCTGGTTGGGTATTGACTAGACCATGGTTTTATTAATAGTTAACCCCCACCCAGTGCTTACTCTGTTCTAGATAGTTCTTTCTTTTTTTAAAATTGATTTTAGAGAGAGAGAGGAAGGTAGAGAGGGAGAGAAAGAAACAGCAATTTTGTTTTTCCATTTATTTATTATTTATTGGTTGCTTCTTGTATGTGCCCTGACTGGGGATCAAGCCTACAACCTTGGCATATTGAGATGATGCTCTAACCAAATGAGCTACCGAGCCAGGGCCTAGGCACCTTTCTATTATTAACACATTTAATTCTCATAACAACACTAGGCATTAGATATTATTATTATTATTATTAATTATTATTATTAGACACATAAGGAAACAGGTCAAACAGATGTAAATGGCTGAGCCAGGTTTCAAAATTAGGCAGCTTGGTTCCAGAAGCTAACTTCTCAACCACTGCTACAGAGTCTCTCACTGCTTTCTCATTCTCAGGCTCCAGGACCCAGTCTGTGCTGACTCAGCTGCCTCAGTGTAACGTCCCTGGAAGACACAATCACCATATCCTGCACAGGAAGCGGTAGCAGTATCAGGGGCTGTGCCCAGACAAGTACAGACATCTGCCAGATCCCCAAAATCCTCATCTACAAGAACAATAGTCAGTTCTCAGGGGTCCTGGCTTGGTTCTCTGGCTCCAAGTTGGGCAACACAGCCTTTCTGACTATTGCTGGGCTCGGGGATGAGAAGAGGCTAGTTATTACTGTCTTATGACACCACAGTTAAACCTGCATGGTTCGGAGCCCCAGACTCCAGGTGAAGTAAGGTACATACCTCTCAGTTCCTCCAGCACATTGATGACACACTATCTACTGGGTAAATTTTACTCTATTGTTAGCAAGGTGGTTTATAAACCAATTCTGCTATTTTTGTGTTTCTTGTACTCAAATACTATTTATGCCAGCTCCTTGTGTATCTCTGCTTCATGGCTGACTATGGTGTATTGATAACAATTCATCTCCCTTTATACTTGGAAATCATTTTGACCTGACCTAAAATCCTTGGCTCACAAATTCTTTCCTTGAATATCTTAAATATGTCATTCCAGTTTTTTTCTTCTTTTGCTCTCAAAAAGCCTGATAATCTCATATTCTTTCCCTTGTAAGTGATTTGTTTTTTGCCTGGATGTCCATAGTATATTTCTTTTCCTTTGAAATCAGTAATTTTACTAGACGACACCTTGGTGTTGGTTGTTGTGATTAGGTGTCTCAGGTTCAGTTTCCCTCCAAGTATATGGTTTCAATTTTTTTTTCTAATTTCAGTAAATTTTTCATGACTTTGTACTATTTGTACTTGACTTTGTGTTTTTCTCTTGTTTTGGTATGTGTTAGATTATTTTTACCTAGCTCCTAAACTTGGAATTTTATCTCAGATCTGTTTTGTCTGTCTATTTATTCTATATATTTAAAAGAGAAGAACAAAGTTGGAAGACTTACACAACCCGATCTCAATCCTTCTTATAATGCAGTCATTAAACAGCATGGTGCTAGCATAAGGAGAAAGAGATCAAAAAACATAATAGAGCTTTCAGTCAAGGACAGGCATATACAGGGACGAGCTGAAGTAAGGCTTGCTTGAGTGTGGTTGGTAGGGTAATAATATGGGTGTAATGCTTTATAGTTTTAATTTGAACATTTCACCTAAAATGTCATATGGTGTTCTTGAGTGTGATATTGTTATGTTACAGAATTACATGCTTATGATTTTGTAATAAAAAGGGGTGCTATTTGTGCCAGACCCTGTATAATGTCGATGGATTTTTGACAAAGGCACGAAGTCAATTCAATAGGGTAAAGAAAAGTATTTTCAATGAATGGTGCTCAAAACAAGCTTCAGCTCCTCCCTTGTATTCTGGCTTCTGCTGCTGTCCATTACTTTACTCATTATGTCTCTTTTGCCTGTGCTCCCCAGAAACAAGGAAAGATATTTCCTTAGGCAGCAGGCTCCTTAATGGAACTCAGACTTGTCTTCTCTACAACCAAAAATGTACCATTCTTTTCCTAGTTTTTTAGCAGCTACCCCTGACCACTTAAAATCATATACAACAGTGATTCTATGCTAAGCCTCCCCAAGATGGTCAGAAAACAGAACAAAAAATGTAAGTATTTTCTTCACTTCTCACGCACAACCCCATGGGTGGGGCGGAAGGGGGGAAGCTGATGTAAAACTTATAAACAGCAAAGTGCAATGATCATAAATGCATACTTTATGATTCCATTCATATGCAAACACCCATGTTATCGTCATTCAGATCAAGACAAGGAACAGTTCCAACCCCCCAGAAGGCACCCCTGTTGCCCTCCAAGTAAGTACTCCATCTCAAACTCTTCGGTCAAGGGTTGAATTTGCCCTGTGTGGGGTGTGTGTCTGTGTGTGGGTTCAGGCTGGATGAGGCTGGAGTCCGTGGGCAGCTTTTATAACATCTTCTCAGAAGCAGCAGGGGGCGCTGTGGTGATGTCCCTGAGAGATGAAGAGGGTTTGACAGCTGAACCACCAACTCCTGACTCTCCCATTGCGCATTGCTTCCAGTGACTGAAGCTGTGTCTTCCAGCCCCTGTCCAGGTCACCCTGCACTGGACCTGGTTCTAGGCTGAGTGCCGGGTGGGTGGGCATGGCACCGATGAGGACCTCCCATCTTCACTCGGGGGATAGGAGACTGGGGGCTGCCCGTCTCTAGCTGTGGGGCCCAGGAGGGTTTGAATTAGGTCTCTAAATGCTTAGAAAATTTCACTGCACAGACTTTGAAACTTGGGGTTTTCTTTGTGGGAAGATTAAAAATTAGAGATTCCATTTCTAGGCCATTGTAGATTTTCTATGCTTTCTTCTGCCACTTTTGGAAACTATTCTTCTAGGAATTTGTCTGGGATTTACACCATCGGCTCTTTGGTTCCCCAGCCTTCAGACTCAGACTGAATTACACCGCCAGCTTTCCTGGGTCTGCAAATTGCAGACAGCAAATCATGGTTCCTTCTCAGTCCCTATAATCACATGTGAACCGATTTCTCATAATAAATAAATAAATATCTATATCTATATCTATATCTATATCTAGAGATATAGATATAGACATATACCTAGATATAGCTATATGTACAGATATACATATATCTAAATATATGTATATATCTATATCTATATCTATCCATATATATCCTATGGGTTCTGTTTCTCTGGAGGACCCTGGCAATCGGAGTCTCCCTCCTCGTGGGCAGCACTGAGCAGAGAGCAGGTCCTGGGCCACCTGGAACTGCTCGCTGATGGGCTCAAACCCAGGCAGGGCGGGGCTGCGGTGGAACAGACAGAACCTCTGCAGGCGCATGGTCTGGCCAACCAGCAGCCCCAGATCTCTGCCATGACGGCTCCCTGGGAAGACCATCGTGAGAGGAGTGGTCAAGACGGCTGGGACAGGGCCTGTGCAGGACGCTGGTTGGCGGAGGTGCCGGATGCTGGTTGTGTGGCGGTGGGGGGGCGCTGATCTAGGTTTGGAGGTCGGGAGTGCTAGGCGTGTGGAAGGGCGCCTAGTGTCCCCCTCACCTCCAGGACCCAACACTTTCTGGTGTACAAGCAGGTGTTTCCCCACTCTCAGGATGTGTCCTCTCTTTCTGGTTCACCAGACGTGTAAATTTGGACAAGAATCCTATTTCTGTGGGACTCGGTTTCCTCAAGGGGACATTGAGGTCACTCTCCCTCAGGGACCCATGCTTGTAGGCTGGCCTCCTGGGCACTGGGTTGTGAGCTTCCAGCAGGTGTTTCCTCCCTGAACGCTTCTGTGGGGCCAAGGCAAGAGCCACAGAGGCCACCATGGGACCATTCCCCTAACTGACACTTGGAACCCAAGGAAATTTGGGATGGTGGTGGCTGGAACTGGGTGTGCGATGGCTCCACCCCTGGGAGGGTGGGGGAAGATGCTCTCCAGACCCCAAAGAGCCCCAGGAGCTGTAGCTGCACAATTCAGGAGGCAGAGCTCTGCACATTGGCACCATGTCCTGGGCTCCTGTCCTGCTGGCTCTTCTCGTTCACTGCACAGGTGAGAACACCCCAGAGCTTGCAGACCCTGGCCTCTTCCCTTGCCCTGCCTTGCCCTGGCTGTCCATGTACTTCTCTGTCTCTGTCCCCAGGTTGTGGCCCTCAGCCAGTGCTGAATCAGCTACCTTCTATGGCCTCATCCCTTGGAACTACAATCCGTCTGGCCTGCACCCTGAGCAAAGACCATGATGTCAGATTTTACAGCATCTACTGGTACCAGCAGAGGCCCGGCCAGCCTCCAAGATTCTTGCTGAGATACTCCTCCGATTCAGACAAGAAACATGGTCCCAAGGTTCCCCGACGCTTCTCTGGATCCAAAGATCTAGACACAAACACGGGGTATTTGAGCATCTCTGAGCTGCAGCCTGAGGATGAGGCTATATATTTCTGTGCTGTGGGGACAAAGAACATGGAGAGGGAAAAGACAGAGACAGAGAGGGAGGAAGAAAACGAGCCTGTGGCTTCAGTGTCCCAGCCACCCCAGGACACATTTACCGTGAACTGAAGGCAGAAAGGGCGCGCATCTCCACGGAAAAGGCGAGGAGGAGGGTGGGTTGTGGGCTGTGCAGAGCGAAGGGGCCGCTCTTTGTCCAGCAAGACCCTTCTGGAGGTTGGATTGGGGGATTAAAGCTGCTTGTGTCATGGCAAGTTGTTTGGTCTGACTGGTGTGCTGAATTATACTAAGGAGGCCCCAGCTGTTCTGTGTAAGGTCAAAATAGGTAGGACACACCCAAGAACCAAACTAAGACGAAGTCCCCAAGAGACTGCTCAGTTCTGGTCTGCTTGGATGGAGCCTCACTCTTGTAAATTATGGGGACAGGGTACTGATATAAGCACCTTAGGGGGACGCTCTGGCCAAAAATGGCACCCTCTGCTGTCACTTGCTTATTTGCAGGAGTTATGGGGTAAACAAGCTTAGAAATGCTTTTTTTGGGCCTCTGGGGCAGAGAGTAGATGCCGAGCGATCGGTCTAAAGCAGGTGCTCCACGTTGGTACTACTGACATTTGGAGCCAGACCGGTCTTTTGGGGGTGGGGCTGTCCTGTGCACTGTAGGATGGTGAGCAGCATCCCTGGCCTGTTCCCACTAAATGCCAACACCTGTAATTTTTCACCCCTAGTTATGACGGTGAAAATGTCTCCAGGTGTTGCCAGATGTCCCCAGGGTGGCAAAATCATCCTAACTGAGAACCACTGGCCTAGGTGAGAGAAATGCATTTACTCTTCTGTACAGAAGAGCAGACCCAGCAATTAAATTTTCTGTAAAGGGCCAGAGAATAAATGATTTTGGCTTTCTGGGCCATATAATCGTTATCTCAGCTATTGAATTCTGTCCTTATAACATGAAAGCAGCCACAGGCAATATGTAAACAAACATGCATAGCCATTCCTATTCAACTTCATTCATAGAAACAGATGGGGCTGGACCGGATATGGCACTTGGGCCACAGTTTTTCAACCCCTGCTCCAGAGAAACACTCAGCTCCTGCCCCCAGGTTTCAACCAAGCCATGCTTGGTGTGGTGATCAAGGTCACCCTCAAATCCTCCTGCCTGATGGTCCTGGGGTTACTAAACCTCTGGACTCATGGAAAGACCTGGAGGTAGGAGGGGTGCGGCCTCACCAATTAGCTTGTTGGGTGAAGAGGGAACAGGTGAGTTCCTGCAACCCTGGCCCACAGTTCAGCACCCTAAATTACTGAGGGGAGGGATAGAAAAATAAAGGGGGAAATCCCTCTGTTGGGTACATTCCCAGTAGAAGCCATAATGGCGTGGGGGAGGTGTTTCTGTTCTAAATGCAAGCACAGTAGGAACTACGATGGGGACCATAAAGGCCTCTATATCTAGCCTGGGAACAGGATCAGATTGGATAGGGGACAGAGAACCCCAGAAGAGCTAGAAAATGGATTGGTTAGTGGAAGGATTCAGCTCCAGCTCAGGAAAACTCGGGAAGTCGATTGGTTGGTTGGGAAGGGAGCCTGGTGGGGAAGGGAGTATACAAGGGTTAAATGATAATGGAAAAAAATACAATTAAAAAAAAAGATGCCCTGGCTGGTGTGGCTCAGTGGATTGAGCACTGGCCTGCAAATCAAAAGGTCACCTCTTCGATTCCCAGTCAGAGGACGTGGCTGGGTTGCGGGCCAGGTCCCTAGTTGGGGGCATGTGGGAGGCAATGAATCAATGTATCGCCCATACATTGGTGTTTCTCTCTCTTCTCTTTCTCCCTCCCTTCCCCTGTCTCTAAAAGTAAATAAATTAAGTCTTTAAAAAAAAGGAGCCCTTGGTCCTTCCCAAGCCCAAGATAATATAACCTAAGCTTAACAAAGAGCTCTCTCTCTCCCCCCACCACCCCAGTAACATGAACTTGTCCCATTTACTCCTATGTTTTCTCTCAGCCACGTGGCCCTAGCAGCCGCCTGGGGCCCACAGCAGACCGCGCAGGCCTGAGCACAGCCCCAGGAGGAACACAGACTAAGCTAGCCAGATGGAGACAGAGACATGGACTGAATCAATGGTGCAAAATGTTAGGGCATTGGCCCTATTTCTGGGCCCGATGAAGACAAGGCAGAAGACACACCTCTCTGACCCCTGGGTGCTGGGCCTTGAAGGGTCCTCACATTAGCAAGGAGATAGCCACAGGAAGGGAAGTTCTAGTTGTCACTTAGATGCAGAACCTCAAGGCCCAGATCAGGGGTAGGCGACAACATGGTGAACTGACACTCTGTTGTTCCTTTTCCCTTTAAAGAGGAGACTCGGGGACCTGGTCTGGAAACCCCTGATAATAGGCATGGCTGCCTTCGGCGCAGGGAGCTCTGAAGCCTATGAGCTCTCCATGCTGGAGCCACTGACGTAGAGGGAAGGAGGAAGCTTAGGAGGCAGACAGGCCTGAGGTGTCTGGTTCTTGGTTCCTACGCCCTCTCCAGCGCCCTACTGAGCACCTGCTGTGTGCCAGGCTCAGTGCCATCAGGGACACAACAGAAATTGGGGGAAGTACCCTGCACTCTCCGAGTTCCAAATCTAAGGCAAGTATTCTCAACTGTGGGGCCCATGAATCGTGGGCAACCTTGTATGTGGGTGTGAAAATGAGCATTTTTATGGGGAGAAGTTCTGTGTCTTTTGTTACATTCACAAAGATATCTGCAGCCCATAAAATGCTCCACATCCTTGGATCTACCAGAGGCTTCTATGCCTTCCTGGCTCTGTGACCGTGGGCAAGTCACTACACCTAAATAAGCCCCTAAATTTCAGTGTCCCCATATATTAAATGGGGATCATGATGACCAGTCCATGGAGTTATTTGCATTATAAAGATGGTAGAGCTGGCTGTGGGAGTCCGGACTCTCCAGAGAAACAGAACCAAAATAATGTGTGTATTTGTATGTATATAGAGAGAGATTTATTTTAAGGAATTTGTTCACGTGGTTATAGAGTTGTGAGTCCAAAATCTTCAGGGTGGCTTGGCAGGCTGGAGACTCAGGAGTGGCAGTTTGAGATTGCTTTGCTGACTTCTCAGGCTTGGGAGAAGTCAGTCTTTATTCTACTGATTGGATAAAACCCACCCACATTACGAAGACCAATCTGCTTTACTCAAAGCAGATTTAATGATTTAATATTAATCCACCAACTGAAATGTTAATACCATCCAAAAGCACCCCCACAGAAACATCCAGAATAATGTTTGATCAAATATATGGGCACTGTGGCCAGCCAAGTTGACACATAAAATTAACTGTCCCACTGGCCTTAAAGAAACAACAGCAGCTACGTCACTACCCTCATGTCAAATGAATCCTCCAGGCTTTGTAAAATGTATGAGTCTTCCAAAAATTGCAGAAACTACCCCAGAGAGGGCTCAGGAGCCATACAGCAGGTTCCCCAAGATCCTGCAATTTTTCCAGAAAATTTGCACCTGGGACCCTGTGAAGGTGGTCCACACGCCTGCTCTAGAGATGGTCTGGGAGAGAAAAGTCCATGGTGTTTGTCGGCAGAGACTCTGAGGCCTGTGGGGTAGAAAGTGGGGCAGAGGGCTGTCCAGCAGGAGGCAGAGGTGAGGGTGCATTTTGACACGAAGTAGGGCAGAAGCGACTGGACAGGGACACACCCTTCTGCTCCAGGAGAGAAGAGCCAGGGCAGGGCACAGAGGAGCCAGGGATAGCTAGACCCAGACCTTTGCGGCCTGGTCTGAAGCCAGCCCTCAGCGCATCTCAGATCGGGGCTGAGAGGAAGCAGGCCTCGGTGGGCTAGAGCTGCGGCTGCGCCATCTGGGAAGGCCCAGCCCATCTCTCCAGGGTCCCCAGGGTCCAGCCAGATCTGATTTCTGACTGTGGCCGCCACAGGAGGATGTGGTCTACAGCAGCCGTTGCCTAGAGGCTGAGGCAGGTGTAGAGGCCAAGGTGGAGGGGGAAGCTGGGGTCACTGAGTTTAGAGGCAGCCCCTGCGCCCCTCCAAGACCTGGGGCTGTCCCCAGAGGAGCCACTGCTTCTAGGCCCTGGGCATTGGGTGAGTGTCACACCCACAGAGGGGTCCTGGGGTGGAGCAGCTTCTGCTTGGACCCCTGGGATGGACCCTTCCCTACACCCCTAGGTTAGAGGACCCCGATTCAGAGGCAGGAGTGGGCTAAGCATCTCAAGAAGGAGAAGCTGGACCAGGGGCCTCCCAGGGGTTCCTCTATACCCTGCGATATTCAGAGGTTAGTCTGTTAGAGCATCCCATGGCCCTGGTTAGACAGATACCAACAGGATGTCTGGGATGGCCCAACTCTATTAGGGCATGTGGCATCCATGAAATTCGCTCTGGGGAGTCTGGGAAGAGCCTCACAGAGATGGACACTCCATTAGGATGGCACTGCCCAGGACACACTGGGCCTGCATGGACTGGGACATGAAGGGTCTAAAAGCAAACGGTAGTGTCAACTGTAAGCTCCAGGTCATCCAACTGTGAAGTGCAGGGGTGGACTTGACCACGAGTTTTGTCTCGTATGCACTACTGGACCACTGTGTCCCAAGATATTTTTACAAAAGTTTTTCCCATCAAAACTCCCAGGAAGAAATACATTTCCCATCATTGTCCAGAGTATATCTACATCTTTACATAAATGAAGCAAACCTCATGAACCATCACCCCTAGGCTACTTGACTTTTGCAAAATGCTGGTTGCAACCAACTGCATCGATTTCACAACCCTCTGTGAGTTGCAACTCAACATTCGAAAAGTGGAGGTTCAAGTATCATCAGGAATTCATTTATTTCTTAATGGCTACAGATTTTTCCCAAGCCATGCCAGATCGGCCAGCTGGTGGTGGTGGTAAATGTAATAATAACAGTTATCTTCCATATGTGTTATGTGTGGAGTGCTTCCCAGTTTAAAAGGTATTTTCAAAGGACAAATTTTGTGTGATTTCACTTATTTGAGGCCCCTAAAGTAGTCATATTTGTAGAGAAAGTAGAATACAGGTTACCAGGGGTTGGGCTGGGGTGGGAAGGAAGTAACGGGAGCTGTTTACAGGGACAATTTCAGTTTTGCAAGATGATGACGCTCTGGAGCTGGATCGTGGTGACGGTTGCACAGCAACGTCAGTGCACTGAATGCCGCTGAACTATACACTTAAAAATAATTAAGGCAGTACATTTTATGTTATGTGTAATACACCACAATTTTTTTTTAACTAAAGAAAACTAAAAAAATAAAAGAACTAAAGAAAGCACCTTCCCGTCCTTTATCTCCCAACTTCAATCGCTCCCGGGTCCTGGAAGGGAGCAGCACAGGCAGCGAGCGCTCCCAGCCCACATCAGGAGGAGGAAAGGAGGCCTGGAAACTCAGAGGTGACCAGAGACGCCACTCCTGGCAGTGCCAGTGCAGAGCCAGGACCTCACCACCCAAAGAGACTACTCAGTCCTTCCTCACTGCCCCTGCCCACCCTGCATCCAGGTCCCTGGGGTAAAAGGGGCCTCGCAGAAGCCACTGCTGTGCGCCAGACACTGGGCTTGTGATGGTGACGTCTAGGTAAAATCTAGGGGTATGAGGGTGTGAGTGTGTGTGTGTGTGTGTGTGTGTAAGAGAGAGAGAGAGAGAGGAGAACCATGAGGTGCTGGACATGGCACATTAAACACCATTTTTATCATTTTATCACAATTCCCTGACTTGAACACTGGCTTCTTGCTCAACAAACACCTGTTTCCTCTGCTGTCAGCACTACAGCCCTAGGTCTGGTCAGAACAGAAGCCCCGGTCCCAGCCTCACATCGCTGAACCCAGGTGACTCTTGGCCCACTGGACGCTTGGCAGGAGCAGGGGTGCCCCGCACAGGGCCCCAGGGGCAGGGCCAGGCCAGCAGCTGTGGCGGGGAGCAGTTGAGCCCTGGATCCAGACCACAGCACGGCAGTTGGCAGATGTCCCGCTGGGAGAGACCCCCAGGAGTGAGGGCCATGGCCCCGGAGAGGGCGGGGCACTGGGGGCAGGGACCAGAGAAGGCCCAGGCAGGTGACAGCGCCATAGCTCACATGCACTGGGACAGTCACTGCTAGCGAGAAGGACTGGGGCACCTGCCGACCTAACCCCACCCTGAAAGCTTACGCCAGCAGATCAGCCAAAGGTGCCTTTGACTCTGAGGGCAGATGAGGCCCAGGACAGGACAGGTGGGCCGTGAGGCCCGCAGAGGGCAGAGCCCCGGCCTCAGGCAGTGCTGGCCGCTGATGCTGCTGGGCCTGGCTGCGGCCGCCCACGGCCTGCTGCTCTCCACGTCAGCGCCGCAGAGCAGGGCTCCGAGCTCTGAGGCCCCAACAAGAAGCAGCAGCCCTAGCCTGTGGGAAAGGTAAGGGACTGAGTGAGTCATGTTGGGGACATGGGGGTCCCTGCAGCCGAAACTGGGAGGTGGGTACAGAGGGTGACAGTAAAGGGAAAAGAGCAAGAAGGGGGAGTCAGCCAGAGGGCAGGGGTCTGGGCAGACACTGGCTTTATTTAAAGGGTTGACATTTTGTCCAGTGTGGATTTGTTTGCATTGATTTTTACTTTTTAATATTATATTAAAATATTACTTATCTTAATTACTGAGTTTTTGGCACCCCTTAAATTTTGCACCCAACTCTAGTGCCTCACCCCAGTCCTCTGGGCGGGGCAGAAACAGAGGCGGGGCAGGACGTCCCTGTGGGTGGCGGGTGCTATTGTCCCAGCCTCCGTCTCTTAGCTGAAGAGCCACGTCCTCACTCTCCCCCTCACTGAGTGGGCAGCTCTCCCTGGGACACGAGGGTACAGGCTCTTCTGTTGATGGATTGTGCTCAGGGGCACCTTCCCTGGTGTCTTCAGGTCACCAGACTCTGAGTCAAGGATTATCAGCAGGGCTGCCTCCTGGGACTGGCCCCCCAGGAGTCTGAGCCCACCCAGGATATGGACACCACCATGGGAAAAGCCCTGGGCAAGGGTTTTCAAGGGCCATGGTGGGTCCCACCTTGTGTTGCCCCAGCCCCTCCTCTGTGTGAGGCGGGAAGTCCCCAGACAAGGTGCTGAGCATCTGGGACCACTCATGATAATCAGTGACATAGCGGCACGTTCATCGTGGGCAGTAATCATTTTAGAGGCAGAACCTCCCTCTCAACGGCCACACGGGTCCGGTGCCTCTGTCATCCCCAACTTACAGAGCGGGAGAGAAGCTCAGCGAGGTGAGGCAAACTGCCCAAGGTCACACAGGTGGTGCGGACTCCAGCAGCTTCCAGCCATCCTCACTCCAGCCCCTAAACTGGGCTGACATGTCCAGTCTCCAGGCCTCAGTTTCCTCCTCTGCACAGTGAGGGTTCCCAATTACCTGAGGGCCTTGCAGCCTGGCACCTGCCCCGGTGATACCAGGGTCGCCATGATGAGGGGCGGGAGTGAGATGAGCTGATCCTCTGCTCGCCAGCAGTCCAGCAGGGAGGTGGGTGAGCGCTTGCGGGTGTCAGGTCAGGACCGGCACCTCAGAGTCCCACAGGGGCTGCTGAGCGAGGGCAGGGCCCAGAAAGCACAAGGAGGGGGGGGAGCCCTCATCAGGGCCAGGCTCAGGCTGAGGCTGGGATCCCAGCGGAGTAAGATTTGGCCCCAACGCAAAGTCCACCCAGAGAGGGGACCAGGGGACGTGACAACCACACACAGCCTGATGCCTGCAGGACGGAGGCCCATGCAGGGAAGCAGCGTCAGCCAAGAGGAGGGTGAGGTGCGCAGATGCAGGCGAGGCTGGGAGCAGGAGGGAGGGGTGGGAGGCAGACCCAGGAAAGGGGGTGGGGTTGGGGTTTGGGATAGTATGTCCCATGTCAGGGGCCTCTCACAGTCTAATTTGGGCTTTGGAAAATGGTTCTGGGTTTTTTGAGGCCGGGTTAGAGGAACAGAGGGAGCTGTCTATGCGGTGACCAGGTAGCAAGATATCTTACGATTTTGGCAAGTGAAAATAAAGTGACTACTAGAGCGTTGACCGGGAACAAATGGGTACTCTCATGGACAGTCGGGGCAGATTGAATTTCTAGAGCAAATAGCACCTTGTATCAAGATTCCTAAAAATGTGCATCCCTTTTAATCCAGTAGTTCCACTTTTGGAAATTTGTCTTGAGGAAATAATCAGAATTTCAACTAAATATCACACTTGTGGTCGTGGGAAGAAGTGGAGACAAACTAAATGTCCAACAATAAGGGAAAGTCAAATAAACTGTGGTACATTCATGATGGGGAATATTAAAGACATTCAATATTAACTTTTTAAAGATTTTTAAAAGCTTATTTTTAAAGAGAGGGGGAGAGAGAGAGAGAGGGAGAGAAACATCCATGTGCCAGAGAAATATCACCCCCAACTAGGGAACTGGCCCGCAGCCCAGGCATGAGCCATGACCAGGAATCCAACCAGCAACCTTTAGGTTTGTTGGCTCTCGCTCAATCCACTGAGCCATGCCAGTCAGGGCTTGATATTAATTCTTTGATGACTGTAATGACAAAGATTTTTAAAGAATGTATTTATTTATTTTTAGAGAGAAAGGAAGGCAGGGAGAAAGAGAGGGAGAGAAACATCAATGCAAGAGAGAAACATTGATAGTTGCCTCTCATACATGCCCCTACTGGAGATTGAACACACAGCCCAGGCATGTGTCCTGATCGGGAATTGAACCTGTGACCTTTCACTTTGTAGGAAGATGCCCAACCAGCTGAGCCACACCAACCAGGGCTGACAAAGATTTTTTTTTAAAACAGGCCCCACATGTCATACTATCAACTTTTTCTACTTTTATTTTATTTTAATTTACACAGTAAAATCTACTCTTTTTGTGTAGGAGCTGTATAAATTTTAATAAAATCATAGAGTTGTGTAACTACCACCACACCAATGACCGATGGTGTTAACCATATTTTCAAGTGCTTGTTGGTCATTTTTCTATCTTCTTTGGAGAAATGTCTGTTCAAGTCATTTGCCCATTTTTTAAAACTGGATTATTATTTTTTTATGTTTCTGAGTTATAAGATTTCTTCATACATTCTGGATACTAGACCCTTATCAGATACATGATTTGCAAATAATTTCTTCCATTCTGTGAGTTGTCTTTTTGCTTTCTTGTTAGTGTACTTTGATGCACAAAATTTTTGAATTTTGATGAAGCCCAATGTATCTATTTTTTTTTTTATTGCTTGTACTTTTAGTGTCATATCTAAGAATGAGTTGCCTAATTTAAGGTCATAAAGATTTACACCTATGTTTTCTTCTGAGTTTTACAGCTTTAGCGCTTACACTTAGGTCTTTGGTAGATTTTGAGCTAATTTTGTATATAGTATGAAGTTGAGGTCCAGCTTCTTTTGTATGTAGATAGCCATTTGTCCCAGCACCATTTGTTGAAGAGACTATTATTGTCCCCTCTGATCTGCCTTAGCCCCTTTGTCAGAAAATCAATTGATAATAGATGCAAGGGTTTCTCCTTGTCACTTAATTCTATTCTGTTGATCTATGTGTCTGTCCTCATGCCTGGGGGTGAGCCGGGGTGAAAGCACTCATGATCGCGTGCGACAAGATGAAGACAGAAAAAGCTGGGTTGGGAGAAAGGTGGCCAGTCTCACCTGGATGCGGTGAGTTTGAGACTCCTGTTGGCCATCCAGCTGGGGACGGTCACTGAGCAATTTAGGCAGAGCCAACTGAGGAAAAGGGTTGGTTCGAGTCGGGATAGACTTGACCTTCCCCACATGGGCAGTAGTTGGAATTCACAATATGAGAAGATGGCAAAGAAGGGGCCAACTGCCATGTGTGGGCTGTAGAGAAACAGAATTCAGAGGAGGAAGAGAGTGAGAGGTCTCAGGTGCCAAGCAGAAGAACGTCCCTGGAAAGAAGAGCCACCTGTGTGTTGCACCAGCAAAAACACAAGAACAACAGGAACTGAGGAGGGGATCTCCCACTTGGCAGGGAAGAGGGTCTTGTTGGCCTTAACTGAGAGGTTTTAGGCAGAGATGGAGATGAAAACCAGGGGCCCTACCATGTCTCAGCACATGAAACGGTTATTGGCAGACACTTGCTTGGGAGTCATGGTTCAATGGAGGGATGGATAGATGAACGGAGGGAGGGATGAATGAATGGATGGACAGAAAGACTGTAGTCCTAGAGATCAGAGAAGGCTTCCTAGAGAAAACTAAATTGTGTCTTGATGTGTGGAGACAAAGGAGGAGGGGATCTCCACTGTGAGTCAGGAAGGCCCCGGTGTCCACGGACCCAGGGAGGCAGCCCGTCTGGCTGCACAGTGGGAAATTGTGGGGAAGAAACCCTCAGAGGCTCTAAAACGAGGCCAGGAGCGGTCAGGCAGGCCCGAGCTAGTTCAGCACTCGACTCAGCCACATCACGTACCACATGAGGGGACACAGTACTCAGGGTCCCCTTCAGCACTGAAGATCCAATGGTGACCAAGACAGCCTCGGGGGCCCCACACTAGGTGATTCCAAAGTATGGGTCGTGCCTCCCTTGGAAAGGGGGGTCATACACAGGGACACCTCTGGATGTGAGCTCACCCAGGGGTGTCGCGGGCTCTTGGGGCCTGGCCACCCGCCCGCCCACCCCAGGACACAGTCCTGCCTGCTGCAGCCCTGCCCTTGTCATGCCCAGCAGGTTCCTGTTCGGTACTGGCCTCCGGGGGCAAGGCCCCAGGTGCTGGCCTGGCGGGTTTTGGTCCGATTCCCAGTCACCATGGTACATCTTCAGCAAGGGGACCGAGCTCATCGTCCTAGGTAAGTGGTTCTTCCCACATTTTCTGTTGTGTCCCACCCCGCTGCTGTCTCGGGGAAGTCCCTCTTCTCTCTGTGGGCTGCTTCCCTCTGCCCTCCAGCCTTACAGACTGACCCCCCGCTTTCTCCATGGGGCCTGGGGAGGCAGCTTGATCTTGGGGTAACCAGCAGAAAGGACCCAATGGCAGGAGTGGCCACCTCCAGAGCCTGACGATTTGATGTGGCTGGGTCCCGGGGACCTGGGCTGGGGGCTTGGCCCAGGAATGGGGCTCCTTTCTGTCTTCCAGGACAGGTGCCCACCAGGGGACCAGAGGCTGATTCTGACTGTCCCGGGCCTTGGACAGTCCGGAGCTCCTGGGGTGTGGGCTGAGGGCTCGGTGCTCATCCAAGCTGGGAGAGCCATGCAGGAGGCTGGGCACAGGGCTGGGGCTGTGACCCAACCTCCAGGGACACAGGGTCAGCCCGCAGGGAGGCCCATGCAGGGCAGAGAGTGGTGACCTTCTCACTCTGAGCTGAAGCTCTCAGGGTCTCCGCTGGGACACGAGGACATGGGGACGCAAAGACACAGGTGCAACAGGGCGAGGTGGCTGGAAGCCCAGCCCTCCGAGGATGATGGTCAGAAAGAAGCAGGTCCTATGGGGCGGAGACTCATCTGTCCCTGGAGCCCCATAACCCCTGTCCAAGGACCAGCCACGCACCTTCTTCAAAGGGTGCATCAGACTCAGATGACAAAGGGGGAGGCTTGGAGCTACGCAGCTGCCCCATGGAGTCAGGAGTCGTCAAAGGTGCCAGGATGGCCATGGGGCCACTGTGTCCATCATGGGAGAGAAGAACCAAAAATGCAGCTGAGGCGAAGGGTCCTGAGATCAGGGTGCGAGGGACAGGGAGGCAGGCAGAGCCTTGAGGAGCCCCCAGGCTGTGGCCCCAGCTTTCCCTGGGAGAGCTGAGGCCAGGCTGAGGCCAAGCTGGGTGCCCAAGGGCAACGGGGGGCGCCAGGCCCCACTGAGTGCTGGGCTTAGGCTTGGAGTCTCTGCACATGCCGTCAGGCCCCAGATCACAGTGGAGTCGCCAGGATCCAGGAAAATGGAGTGAGGTGGGGCCTGACGCTGGGCCTAGGGCTCGGGAGCTCAGGGCCAGACTCTGCCTCAGACTCTGGAGACCAGGAGAAGGAAGGAGCAGCCTATCCTGGTTACACTCAGGGAGACTGAGGCTACAGGGGTAGGGGCTTGACCAGATCACCCAGGAAAGGTGACTTGGAAGAGCTTCTGGGAGGGGGGGCTGTCTGCTGTCCAGAGGCTGAGTGGAAAGGAGGAAACAAAAAAGGAAGGAGGGTCCCTTGGGTGAACAAACATGGACACCACGGGACCACTCACAAGCTGTAGATTAGTGGGGGCTGCCAACACTCAGATTCTCCCTCTACGTCTCACACCACCTCCGCCACCCACAGGTCAGCCCAAGGCTGCACCCTCGGTCACTCTGTTCCTGCCCTCCCCTGAGGAGCTCAGCACCAACAAGGCCACGCTGGTGTGTCTCATCAGTAACTTCTACCCTGGCAATGTGACAGTGGCCTGGAAGGTAAATGGCAGCCCCGTCACCCAGGGCGTGGAGACCACCAAGCCCTCCAAACAGAGCAACAACAAGTACGCGGCCAGCAGCTACCTGAGCGTGTCGCCCAGCACGTGGAAGTCAGCCAGCAGCTACAGCTGCCACGTCACGCACGAAGGCAGCACCGTGGAGAAGTCAGTGGTCCCCTCCGAGTGTTCCTAGGACCCTGAGCCACCCACCCTCGGGGGCTGGAGCCTGAGGACCTATCGGAGGGTCTTCCCTCCCACCTTAGTCGTCTCTAGCCCTGCTCCCTGCACCCAATCAATCCTCAAAATGTGCTCATTGTTGATCAGAAATCATGTTCTCTGCTCATTTTTTTCTTGTCTCATTTAATTTGTGACCCCTCTTGCGTCATGGGGTGGGGTGGGAGAATCCTTGGTGTCCAGCAGGAAAGTTTCCTGGGGCGCCTCCCAGGAAACTGGCCAGGACATAAGGAGTCCAGTCACCATTCAGTCCCTCTGCCTTCTCCTTGTCCTAGTTCCTCCTCTAACCCACAATGTCCATCCTTCCTGGTTGGAGCTGGCCATGGCTCGTGACCTCCAGATAATCCCTCCCTCCCTGCCCTGGTCCGGAACCCTCTATGCCAGGCCCTCACCCCCTGAAAAGCCCACCCACGGGGGCCAGGACACTGCAGCAGAATCAGTTTTAAAGGCTCTTCAATCTGGGGTCTGCCTCGATTTCTCACCTGATGTCTGGTTTGGAGGTATAAAAGGACTAGGAGGAAGACAGGAAGGGAACTGTCACACAAAACGCCTCCTGGGAGGCTAAGATACTTCACACAGATAAGCTATGAGCACCCCAGGAACCGAAGGAGGGAAATAGGTGCCTCATAAAGTCTCTGAGATTAAACAAAGCTTTTGCTGGAGGGAAATTGGTGTCTGAGGCTTCTTGTGCCACAATTAAAAGTGGGCATGAGTTTTCCCTAAGACCTCAGCATTGATGGACATCGGGCTCTGACACGCACAGGTGACTGCCGAGCAGCCTCTGGGGGGCGGGGGGTAAAAGTCCTCTGATTTGCCTCAGGGTGGTCTGACCAGTCAAGCTTCTGCCCCTGGACCCAAGGTGGACCCACAACCCCGCACCCATCACACACCCAAGGCCACTGCACTCCTGCTGGAGCCCCCTTGGGTGTCCTGGGACCCCTGAGCTGCTTCCCTACTCATGGCCCAGCTCTGCCACATTCAAGCAAAGGGAGGTGGGATACGCTCAGGTATGTGTGGCATGGGGAGGCACCTACCATCTTCCTGGGGGCACTAATTATTAGAAACCACGTCCATCTGATCGGGGATGTCAGGGGAAGAAACCGGGTCCCCTATGGGGACTTTGTGAGGCTATGAGGTTCCCGGTGTCTGAGAATGAAGGGTGTCACTCCACACTTCTATGCTGGGTCCCTGGGCTCAGGCTTCCCTACCACACTCTGGGGGGTGGAAAGGGGTTGGGGCAGTGGCAGCCGGTCAAGCACATGTCACTGTGGGTGGGGGCTGTGGAGGAGCCATGCTGAGGCCCTGGGTAAGTCTCTCACTTGGCTCCTTCATTAGTTTGCTATGCCTAATGTTAATACATCATGGCAAAAACCAAACAGCTCAAAACAACACACATTTATTCTCTTACAGGTCTGGGAATCAGAAGTCTGAGATGCTCCAGGCGTTTCCCGCTCACTCCTGTGTTCTGCCTCCCCGGGAGGCTGTCAGGTGGCAGCTTCTCAGCACCACTGGTGAGGATGAAGGATCAGGCTTCGTGCCCCGGCCCCTAGGACACAGGCGCAGCAGGGACCAGGCTCCTCAGCCATGGGGTGTCCTGTCACCTGCCCCTTTGTTTCGCTGTTGCTGTCAGAGTCAGAGGAGCTGGCCCCTTGGCTGTTCTTCCCTTCTGTGTGTAAGGTCATAAACTGGCTGGATCCAAAAGGGGCTCGTTTCTACCCAGTCTCCAAGCTGATCCTAGATTTTATATGGAAATGCAAGAAGCTGCGAATAGCCCAAAAAATCTAGAAAAAGAACAAATTTGGAGGACTCACACTTCTCAACTTCAAAACCTACTAAAAACTACAATAACCAAAACAGGGTAATGCTGGCATAAGGATAGACCTATGTACGGATCAACATACTAGGCTTGAGGGTCCAGAAAAAAAAACCCCAAAACATACATTTATAATCAATTAATTTTTTTAATCCTCACTCAAGGATATGTTGTTGTTGTTGTTCACTCAGACTGCGTTCTCTCCTTCTTACTCTTCCAAAGGAAGAGCAGAAGGATCATCAATGGCTATTAGCAGTTGCCAAAGCAACACTGGAAGCCTGCTTCATGCTCAGGAGAGAACACTGCGCCTCGCCCTTGTAGTTTCAGGTGCTCTACACATTCAGAGAAATTTCTCTAGTAACGAAGTATAGAAATGACCCCTGAAAGTAGAGTCTTCGAGGACATGTTTTTATTGATTTTAGTGAGGAAAGAGAGAGACAGACAGACAGACACCATACAAGCCCCAACCAGGGGTTGAACCTGCAACGTAGGTATGTGATCTGACCAGGGATTGAACCCATGGCCTTTTGGTGTACAGATGATGCTTCTACTGAGTCACTCAGCCAGGGCTCACTTGATTTTTTAAACACCTTTAAAAAAAAAAAAGTATTTGGGCTTGCAGCAAAATTGAGAGTAACATGCAAAGAGTTCCAATATACCCCCTGCCAACACACATGGACACTCTCCCTGTTATCAGTCTCCCCCCAGAGTGTGCATTTATTACAACTGGCAACCTGCACACTGGCACATCATTATCTCCTGAAGCTCATGGTTTATATTAGGGTTCACTCTTGGTGTTATATATTCAATGGTTTGGAGTTAGCCAAAGGACCTGAAGGGGCTAATCCAGAAAGGAAAGATCTAGGCCTAGTACAGATTTCTCTTCTATCTCTGATCTGTTCTGGCAGAAAGGTTTGCGGTGCCTCCAGGGTCCCCAAACTCCAGGCCCAGGTGGAGATAACAGGGTGTAAATAATCTATGTGGACACAGGTGTCAGCTCAGTGTAAAGGAGAATCACCTTACTTGTTTCCAGAGTTCCTTTTAAAGAGTTTATTCATCTTGATCTTTTGTTTAAAATAATAATAGCTCACTCTAAATAATGTAGAAAGTACAGAAAAATAAACGGGGAGGGGGGAATTCACCCCTCATACTCACCCAGGAGAGCCACTGCTAATATTTTAATGTACTTCTGTTTTAATTGTAAATTATAACCATAAAAATGTATTTGTAAAGTTATTATTAAAAAGTAGTAACAGCCCTGGCTGGTGTGGCTCAGTGGATTGAGCGCTGGCCTGCGAACCAAAGAGTTGCGTTCAGTTTTGCTCAATTCCTAGGCAGGGCGCATGCCTGGGCTGTGGGCCAGGTCCCCAGTAGGGGGCGCACGAGAGGCAACCAGACAGGCGCTTCTCTCCCTCGCTCCCAAAATAAATAATAAAATCTTAAAAAAAAAAAAAAAAAGTAGCAACAAAATCACCATTATATACCATCTAAGAATCAACATGGTCCGGACCTCAGGAGTCCCTCCGTTTGTCCTCTTCATTTTTCCTTATAGTTTTACCTTCCCTGTGCGTGCCCTTAAGCCAATCATTTCTCAGCCTCGGCTGTTTTTGAACGTGACATAGGTTCTTATACAGCGTCTCAGATACCCATTCACGCTGACAGAGGACCCCACACCCTGCTGTGCGCTGGGCGGCGGCCAAGGTGGCAGGTCGCCCCGGAGCGGAGTCCAGCATCACCGCCTGGAGCTCGGAGTGACGGTCTCTCCAACGCCCCGTATTCGTGGAACTCACTGTTTCCCTTTGCTTGATTTTCAGAGATGGAGGCAGCGTAAATGTTTTTTTTCCTGATTATGAGAAGATAGACAAAGATTCTTTTAAAATAAAACAGAAGGAACTCCCGTGGGCGGGGCGCTCCAAGTCTTCCCCCTCCTCCCGTCGCCCAGGGTCCGCCGCGGCTCCCGGCGCGGACCACCCGGGACGGGGACAGAGCCGCTCAGCGACGGCTTCCGGAGCCCGCGCGGCGGCGGCGGCGGACTGGTTTGCGTAGCCTTCGGTAGAAACTGCGATTCAAGATGGTCCCAAATAAGTCCGAAGGCCAGGAGAAACCCGTGGCCCTATACAAAGTCTTCGTGGCGGGCAGCAGCGGTGGGAACGGGGCCGCTCCGACTCTCCGGTTGCTCTCTGGGAGCTCGTGCAGGAGGACTCTGAGCCTGCTAAAGCCCCGAGCTATCAGCTATCGGAAGAACGTGGTGCTGGATGGGGAGGATGTGCAGATCAATACCGTGGATCCAACTGGGCAGAAGAACTACGGGGCAATTAAAGACAGCTACGTACGGACCCGGGAAGGTTTCCTCTGTGTCTTCTCCATTACAGAAAAGCAATCCTTTGCAGCCACAGCTGACCTCAGGGAGCTGATTTTAAGGGTTAAAGAAGATGAGAATGTTCCATTTCTGTTGGTTGGGAACAAATCAGATTTAAAAGATGAAAGGTAGGTTTCTGTAGAGGTGGCGAAAGTCGGAGCTAATCAGTGGAATGTCAATTACGTTGAAGCATCTGCTGAAACGCGTACTAACGTTGACAAGATTTTTTTTTTTATTTGATGAGGGAAATTCGAGCCAGAAAGATGGAAGACAGCAGAGAAAAGAATGGAAGAAAGGAGAGGAAAAGTTTAGTCAAGAAAATGATAGAAAGATTCTGCATTTAATAACCAAAGCCCCAACTACTTTCTTATCTTGACCATACTAATAAATATAAATGATAAGCATTGTCTTTGAAGGCTCAATCAACTGAAATTTTTTTAACATTTTGAAAACTGTTATGTATCACTGGAAGGATCAATTGGAACTGCACTAAAAGTCAAATTCACCTTTTTTCTTTTTTAATCCTCACCTGAGGGTATCTTTATTGATTTTTTTTTTTTAAGAGAGAGAGGAAGGGAGAGAAACATACACTGGCTGCCTCCCGTAAGCACCCCGACGACCTGGGATCAAACCTCAAAGTTTGGGTATGGGTCAGTGCTCCAACAAACTGAGCCACCCAGCCAGGGCTCAAATTCACTGTAAAAAGAAGTTAATGTGGCTTCATCAAGAAGCAAAGTTTAACTTACTTCATAATGACCTGGATTTATCATGGTCACAAATGTAGCAGGTGAGCTTGTGTTTTGAGGGCAGCGTTAAACTGTTAAGGAGGTGAGCTGGGGGTAGGGAATGGGAGGAAAGGCTCCTTCTTCTGGTTTATTATAAAGCTTAAATTTTATATCACTTTTAAATGCCTTCATCCTCTACTGCCTTGAAAATGACAATTGGGGACCTGACAGTTAAACTGTACCCCCTTTTAAAACTATTATGCAAAATATAGAAGAAAAGCTATTGGCATGACTGTTGCATGTAGTTAAATTGGAAGCAAGTCATCTGTGAACCCGCATTAATCACCTGGTGATTGACTGAGAAACGCAGTGTAAATTTGTACATGAAAATTTCTGAATACACCTTAATTTAGAAACTGAAAAATACTCAGGTACATCATTCTAGGTGTGTCCTCACTGGCGCCATGGCCCATTGGCCAGTGTGTCCTGGTGACAGAATACACTAGGCCCAGGGAACACCTGGTTCCCCGCTGCACACGCTGGCACTTCTGGAGGGCACACACTGACCTGGAACTGGGGGACACAGGGTGTCTACATTCAAATTTCCTGTGAGCTGAATGCAGTATGCTCTCTGAAGCAGCGGGACTAACTTACAGCTGATCAACAGGCCACTGTCCCGTTCCCCAACTCAGCCTTTCCTTGGGTTGTTGACGCTCAGACCTTGCAATCCCTAATATTGGCACCCACTCGTGGCATTAAGTGAGAACCCAAGGAAAGCCCACCAGCATCACTCAGCTGTCACTAAACTCTGGTCCTCACTCTGCCTGTCTCAAGGACCCTGGACGCCCGAGCCTCACCTTCCCTTGGCAGTCATGACTCGGAGGCCCCTAAGCCCACCCTGCCACCCTGGTTCCTACTCCTCTGAGTCTGTGTGCTGGAACCCTTTCCTGAGCTTCTAGCGAGGAAACAGAGACCCCTGGCGACCAAGGAGGGTGAGGTGGGTCCCAGAGCCTTAGCTTGATTGCCCAGGGTTGGAGGGGGACCAGGCAGGGTGACCCCCCCAGACAGCACAGGGACCCCCATGCCTACCCAGGGTTCCCGTCCTTGAAGCTCCTCCTGGGTGCGCCCCTGGAGCCAGAAAAAACTGGGCCAAAGATGCGCTCATAGTGGGGCCCCTCCAAGTCGCCCCTCAGTTGGTGGCAGAGTGGAGGGGCTTCTGGGGTTGGGGACAGGAATATTCTGGAGCCCAGACAATCCCTGAGCAGGCTCTAAGTCATCACTGGCCCTGCCCTCCCTCCAACCAGGTACCCATCTCACGCTCCTCTGGTTCCCTTCCTTGTGGCATAAGGGTCCTCCACTGGCTTGGGAATGAGAGTGAAACAGAGTATGAGGCTGAGCAGGGGTGGCAGGGGCAAAGGAAATGCTTGTCTGAGAGCATGTGTGACCTGTGTGGATGTGGGTGTGTGTGGATGTCTGTGTGTATGAGTGCGTGCAAGTGAGTATGAATACAAGTTAATGATCGATATTCATTCCTCTCCTAGGGCGCACGTGCGTGCTCTCTCTCTCTCTCTCTCTCTCTCTCTCTCTCTCTCTCTCACACACACACACACACACACACACACACACACACACGGTCCAGGAAAAACCAGGGCAGGGCAGTAAAGTGGTAGAAACATTCTATTCAGACCTGTTGCAAGAGGGAGAGAGAACTCAGTATAGAGTCAATTTGGGCTCAATTCTGAATGGAGCATGGGCCTGTAGGGATGTATAGCCAAGGAGCAGGCTGGGGGGTCTGTGGATGGAAAATTACTAAAAGGAAACATCACATGTGAGGAGGGATTCTGGCCAAACCAACCTAACAGGATTCTTTGCTGAAGGAATGCCCTCGTGATCAGACAGCTCTCCCACCATGCCTCCCATGTGGTGGTAGCTGGCATTTATCACTTCCACTGCCCAGTCTGTACTCCCTTTGCCCTTGGCAAGCCCCTCTGCTGGTCAGGGTTACCTGTCTGGTGGGGTGCCCCAAATCTTTATTCCTGGGGGCCTGAAGGAGGTGGCTATAATTCTCATTAACTTTCATCACAGGCCATGAGGGTACACGGGTGCTCTCAGGGTTCCAGATGCATTCTTCCTGGCTCCCCCAAGGTGTAGGAGCTCTGCAACGCCCCTAAGAGTCAGGCTGATCACCCCACGCCTGTTGTTCACTGGCACAAGATGCCCAGAGTGGCCAGAGGGTGGTCTCTGGTTATGTCCCTGGAGTAAGCATTCCTCTCTTGAGAACTAAAACCTCTACTCTAGCAGAGCCCAAAGTT